ATCTATAGGATATGAGTTTGGTCTTCTTTCAAAGTATAAACAATTTATGAAATGCTAGTGCTATGTAATGATATTAGGAATAAAAGAGTCAATATAACTTTTACTTTAGCACATAAAGTAAAAATATAGGGATCTGTTGTATGTTTTTAAATATGAAAATCAATAAACTCTCCCAGTGCCACCAAAGTGCAAAGATGCTATGTTTACCTGGATCGCAATGGCCTGGCATCTTTTGTAATAAGCTGAGGATTTTCTAAATCACCAAGCCCTGGTTCTTTTTTGCTGAATAGTTCTTCCTTCAATCTCTCTTTCTTTTCACATTTTACAATAAGCAGCAAGAAGAAACCAGGCAGAGCCTTCAATACTTTCCTTAAAAATCTTCTCCTTTAAATACGCAAATTCATAATTTTTGTATGTAGCAGACTTCAGTTCAGCTGTGTTCCTTTCTGAAGGCTCTGAGAGAGAATCATTTTTCTAGGATGATCTGGCTTCTAGAGACTGCACGCATTCCTTGGAAATAACTCCCTTCCATCCTCAAAGCCAGCAATTACTTTAATTCTTTTCCACATTGCATCTCTCTGACTCTCTTTGATTCTGACCTTGACTTTCTTGTTTCCATCTTTTATTTATAGGAATCTTGTGATTGCAATAGGCCCACATGGGTGATCTGGGGTAATTTTCCAATCTCAAGGTCAGTTGATTAACAATCCTAATTCTATGTGCAAATTTAACTCCCCCTTGCCATGTTCCATGTGACATGTTATATTTACAGGTATTAGGTAATGAGGACATGGACATTTTTGGGTCAAGGACTGTGTGCCATTATTACCCCCAGTGCTCTATTTACTGTTAACAAACACCATTCATTTCTATCACCATTAGAATCTTTTCAAGTCCAGCTTTTTTCATGAATATCCTACCATAACTAGAAATTTAGGAATTCCAATCTCACATGGTCTGCTTTTCATAATTAAGACTTCACATTCCAAAACAGATGTTTTGGGGTGGTAACATGGTCCTGATAATTACAAGTTACCAGTATAAAATTTACCTAACTAGGTGTGTTTAAAATAAATTGAAAGCAAATAGCTATCTTAAGAAGGAGTATAAAAGAGTAATAAAGAGGAAAATGATCATGAAATGCTTCTTATTTTTCTTGTGTTTGACAAGTTATCCTGATTCGACAACTAATACAATCAGTGGTTTGTTAAAAAAATAAAGTGAATTTCTGCCCCTGACATAAAAAAGGGGGTTTTATAATAGCAAACAATGGAGCTCTCCTTTATTCCCTCCTGCTGCCTTACTCCCTTACCCTTTCTCTCAATTACCTCCAGTTTATGAACTTGTGGTGTTGGTTTATGAACTGGACCAAGAGGCCAGTAGAGATGAATCCATTAGTGTCCTCAATTTATTTGAGTTGATATGGCAATAACATCCCAGAAAAAAAAAAAGAGAGAGATGAGGGTTCTAAAAATCCCTAGGATTAAAGATAATTCTACAACCTGTTCCCAGGCCTCACATACTTAATGAGTTCATAGTAGATCAGTGGTTCTCCGACTTTAATATGCATAGGAATCAAGGAAGGATTTTGTTAAATGGTCCAGTAGGTTTGGACTGAGGCCTAATGCTCCATATCCCTGACAAGATCACAGGTCATGCTGATGCCACTGATACACAGGCCGCAGTCTAAGTAGTGAGGATTAGATTACATCTCTGGTTGGCAAAAAAATCAAGTTTTAGCCAAACCTATAGTGCATGACAACTAGAGGACAGGCAAATGAGGCCATCTGGGCCCAACTGATCTTTCCACCTTATCTTCCTATGTTTTTGCAAGTGTGAAAGGAATACACATTAAAATCTTTCTGTACTGTTGTCATGAGTACGGGGATAATAAAGCAACTTTTCTGCCTGAGTGGACAAATTTACCCAGGATTTCTTTCAACCAAATACTTGTCCTTGTTAACATTTTTGTCAAGTTGGCATGACAACTATCCTATTCTCAATAAAGTGGAGGTAAGTTTTAACCTATACGTCACCTGTAAGCCACAAGAATGGACATGGAAGATGATGACATATTTAGGTATTCATTTATCCACTCAACAGTCATTTTACTGAATCCCTACTATGACCCATGTTCACTGATAAGTACTTAGGCTGCAGAGATTACTTCTCTAGTGCAAAACACTACTTTCCTTATGCAAAAGTACTTTCAGTATTTTTTTAAAGATTTTATTTATTTATTTTTAGAGAGGAAAGGGAAGGAGAAAGAGAGAGAGAGAGAGAGAGAGAGAGAGAGAAACATCAATGTGCAGTTGCTGGGGGTCAAGGCCTGCAACCCAGGCATGTGCCCTGACTGGGAATCGAACCTGCAATGCCTAGTTTGCAGCCCACGCTCAATCCACTGAGCTATGCCAGCCAGGGATACTTTCAGTATTTTTTTCAGGGCATATCAAATATACAGATTAATAAATGGCTTTCACAATCACCTTTTGGTGGTTCCAGCCACACTTAACCCTAGATTGGTTGCTTTCTGCACATCCCATACTGACAAAGGATGAGCAAAGAATACAGAACTGTCTCTAGCTGATGGTCTACCCTTGGTGAAAGTGAGTAGCCCCTGGCAGAAATTACTGAGGTTAAATATGATACTTATTATAAGGTGGGTGGTCTACAGAATTTGAGGATGGTAAAAGCAGAAATTAACAGCTTTAGCAGATCACATTCCAGGATGAAAAGAATATTGACAAGAGTAATATCAGTAGAGGAAACAAAAACAAAAAAAATCAAGTTTTAGCCAAGCCTATAGTGCATGACAGCTAGAAGACAGGCAAATGAGGCCATTTGGACCCAACTAATCTTTATTTTACACCTTATCTTCCTGTACTTTTCCAATGTGCTTTGCATTTTTCTATCAAATGGTACAGTATCCTGTTTCTTAAATATCCATGTCGCTGCTCCCTACCTCCATGTCATCACTCACTGGAAAAAGCAAAGCAAAACAAAAACAAGCTTCTATTATATCTTTATCCAAGTAGGATCAGCCCTTCAAGGCTTAACTCTAATGCTGGTCCCTTATGCAGTTAAGTCTCCTGTCAAAAAAAGTCTTTTCTTTTGTGCTTTCATATTGAATTTATTTTTAAAATCTAGCATGAGATTCTCTTTCAATTATATGCTAGTGGGTATTTCTTTTTTCTTTTTTTCCTAGGTCTTAAATTCTAAGTATCCTGAGGACAGAAGCCCTACTGACCTAAGAGACTATCATGGGTTGATGGGTTGGGAGTAGAGGAAGAGAAGTTTTCAGAAGTGGCAGAATCAAAACATGCATATTTACAACTATAAACTTTTGTGTTTTACTAAGGCAAAGTTTATTTAAATGCCTTGTTTCTTATTTAAATGTCTTTGGGAGGGGGCTTATTCTGATGTTTGCCATGAGAAGAGCACAACCAACAAAAATGGGAGAGAATTTGTAAATGTGATGAGTCAAAAATGATACCAGATTATGTGGTAGGTTTGGGGAGAAATACAAGAATTGGAGATAACCATGGGCAATCTGTCCCAGAGTTCCTGGGTTTCAAGAAGGACCATGCAATAATCATGAATAATTGTGAATTCACACTGAAACATAATGAAATTTTTACTCTGAAAGTCAGAAAGGTGACTGGAAAACAATATCAGAACCTAATTTTCTGCGCTGGAATACACACACGGACACCACCCCCTACCCCCGGCAAACAGAACTAAATGTACTGAATCAAGCAGAATCAGGATCTTATTGGAAGGTTGTAAATGTCCGCAGCCATAGAACTGCATTTGTCAAAGGGTAGATGGGCTCTTTCTACTCTGGCTCACCCCGAAAACCAGAGCAAGAGAACCATCCATGCAGACACCAACTTCCCAGCAGAAATGTTGGAAGTTTTAACCATGATAAACCACAATTTTTCCAAATCAGACAAGAGTGGAGGGTTTTGTTTTTTGTGTTTTTTTTTGGTTTGTTTGTTTTGTTTTTTGTTTGTTTGTTTTAAGAAGCCAAGTTTTTCCTGAGTTCCCTCCTTTTTTCCTTCCTCTTTTGTCCCGGTCCCCATCCCCTCATCTCTGTTTCCACCGAGTAACTGCTGGGATGGTGATTGGGTAGCTGGAGGGGCCAAGACTCAGTTCCCCTGCCCCAGTCTCGGCGTAGTGGGTGGGACTCAGCCCAGAGCTGGTTTTGCACAAGCAGATTTCTGTGCACTTCTACACGTTCGCCTAGCGAGACCCAAGGCCAAAGGCGGACAACCGCTAGAGAACCGCCGCAAGCGACCCACACCTGCCGGGAAGGGGCCGCTGCTGGCTGCCAAAGGACCCTGAGTGACCATGGTGCGTTGTAGCCACTACTTTCTTTTTCAGTTTTTTGGTGCAGGGAAGGCAACGGGTTTTGAAAAGAAGTAGAATGTTATAGGGAAGGAAACTGCTAGGGATCTTTTGGGGTCATCGGAGAAAGAGCGACTCGTAGACACAGGGAGAAAACCGCTACCGGAACGGACTGAATGCTTCGGAGTAGCGCGGGAATCGGGTTTGAGAGTCACGTCTCGTCCCGCCCAGCCTGTTGAGCAGGTAGACCCAAGTAGGAGCGCTGCGGCCCAAGCATTAGCGCTGCGGCTGCGTGTGCGGTGGGTGCATTTGCCCAGAGACCCGCAGGTGCCACCGCAGGGTCCCGGCTCCCTTCCACCTCCTCCCTCCCCTGACCTCCACTCCCTTCTGCATTCACAGTGCAAGGAGCGCCCGGGAGCTGCTGTAGATCCGAAACGCTGTCCAGAGATCTGGGAGGTCACCGAGTAAGTTGTCGCAGCATACGCACGAGTGTCGAGTGTCGGGGCTCCTCACAGCGGGGGCTATTTCTCCGAGCCCCCGGCCTGGGCCGGTCCTCCACAGGCCCCCCCCCGCCCCCTCCCCCCCCCCTCCGGGGAAGCTTTCCTGGCGCTTCCCGCTGCCCAGCGCCGAGTGGCCTGGGCGCGGTTCCCACGCGGGGGAGGAGCAAGGGGGCAAAGGAGACGGCGCCGGGGGACCGGGCTGAGGGCCCGGGGGACCTACGACGCCCGAGAGAGGAGTAGGGACCGGGCTGGGCTCCGGGCCGACCGCGCTAGCGGCAGCGCTCGCGGAGCCGGGCCGTGAGAACGCGCTGGGCGCGCCGGGACGCTGCTCTCCCACGGCCCCGGCGCCCGGCAGCAGCAGCCAGCCAGCCCCGGCGCGGCGCCGCGGCCTCCGGTGCAAGGGAGACAGCTGGAGCAACAAAGGGGCGCTGGGACCTTCGAGCCTGGGCTTTACCGCAGCTTCCACCCGCTTGCTACGGCGTGGGTGAGCGATTCGCCCTCCTCGAGAGCAAACAGCTAGGATTGCAGGATTCCTTAGAGAAAACAGCCAGGAAACTTCCAGTGGGGCTCAGGGGCTTGACCAAAGAGTAAGTGTGTGTGTGTGTGTGTGTGTGTGTGTGTGTGTGTGTGCGCGCGCGCGCGTACGTGTGCTAATTACAGTTTGGCAGTCTAATTTCCGTCCCACCTGGGGAAACGGCGAGCAGGAGTCACCCGGTCGCTGAGTGCGGGACCTGTGCCCGGAGCCGGTACTCAATGGGCTGAGCTGCCTCACTGTGACCGTCATGAGAGGGGCTGCGATGCAACGTAGTCATGTGATTTCGGGCTATAGATTTTGTGCGTCTTGCTCTTGCTTGTTTGTTTTTCACACGCCTGTTCTTTCATTTTGCACTCGATACGCCGTTTACATCTTATGAAGTAAACCAGAAGGTTGTACATCTCACTTAATGGTAACTGGCAGAAGGCACCTGGGTTTCCAACATAATGGAAATCCCTCTGAGTGTGTGTGTGTGTGTGTGTGTGTGTGTGTGTGTGTGTGTGTGTGTAGGGGCGGGAGATATATATTAAATTAGAGCTTCATTTATAACACAATAGTAGTGATTTTTCAGGGTTAGGTTTCTGATGCTGATTTCATTAAATGTCTGTTTACTTCTAGAACTGGGCTTAGTAGGAAAATCGTTAACCCTCTGGTTCCATATATAAGATGTTGAAACACAATGATAGATACAGATTTTCATGTCTTGATTCATAATATAGAATTGATATGTTGCTTTTCCTAATATAATTATTTTTCTGCAACTGTGGTATTTCAGGTAATGGTTTACTGGGTAACGGTTTTTACACCATTAACAATGTAAAAGTGATATGAATGTCTAAAATTCCAAAGCAAACTTTAATTTGTGAAAAAGTCACATGAACTTTATTACTTTTTCAGTGGAGGTTGTCTGTGTAGGCTATGCTCTCTGCTCAGTTACCAAACACCTGCTTCTGTGGATCGACTTCAAGGGTCATGAAGTCCCCGAAATTGTATTCAAACAGCTGAGTTGCAGCACTTTTAGGGAAACAGTCTGGAGTTCTCAGGTAGCTGAAGAGATCTGTGACTCAGTAGAAAAATAACCACGAAGTTAAAATATACATGCATAAACTACACTTTTTCTTATCAAAACAATAGACTTTCTATATAAAGCCTTCTGATAAAATAGTAGGAAAAATTCTAGAATAATTAAGTAGTGTTACAATAATGAAACATCTCATATAAAATAGACTCACTTGTATGATTTTAAATGTATGGGATAGGAAATGTAGGCAGGTGAAATTTATTTAGTAGAAACTTGTACTCTTTCTTCTGGTACTGTAAGATCTCTTCATGGTTTATGACAAAGAAAATATATTCTGTCTTCAAAATCCAACAAAAATATGAAGTACTTATCCTTGGTCAGGTATTTCATAGTGTGTGGATATAGATAGCTCCTTAAAGGCCCTGTTTCCAGATGTTCTGGTGGAAAATAATGGGTCTCATACAGCTGTCATTTACAGAATGAGGGAAATGTAAAGATATTTTACTTATACCTGGCAACACCAAAGAAAAAAGAAATGTGGAAAACCACAGTGCTTAGCATTAATATCTCTTATACCTGTGATTTATTAAATGATCTTGCTTTAAGGTATTATTTTAAAAACTAGTTTAGTGAATATTATATTGTATTAAAACTAAAGAAGTGATAACTAAAATTTAATTATTTCTGTTATGAATACATCAGTAAAATTTTATGACTAAATGTCAAAAGTTTTGTCATAGACATTTTTCAAATAAAAATTCTTTCATTATGGTTTTTTAATTTAATCTCTATTGTATTTTTCCAGATCATTTAGCCCCCTTATACCCACCTCTCCCCAGCAGTCACCACACTGTCGTCCATGTCCATGGGTCCCTTTTCCTTTTTGCTCAATCCCTCCACCCCTAACCCCCTCCCACTAGCTGTCATTTGCTGAGTTAACATTATTTTTTAATGAATAAAGATATTGTATAACCTTAAATTTTGTCTGAAATCATACAAAAGAAATTAAATTCTATGGTTACATTTGTAGGTTGCATTTATCAACAATTAATGTGAGTACAGGGAAAAGAATACTGATTTTTTTTACAGGTTAGCTTAAAATAACATGTGTGCCCATGAAGTTTCTAATTCACCATTTTCAGAAATAAATAAAAATCAAATTAGCCTTAAGAATGAATATCTGCAGGTAAAGAGAAATGGAAATTTAAAGTAATATTTGAACATACCAAAAATATGTTATTGATGGGACAAAATTGTGGAGGAAATTATTTATTCTGAATATTTTCTCTATGTCATTTTCCAGAAAGTTCTTAGCTTTTCTTTTGTTTGCTAAGATTTATAACATTTATGAGAATGATTTTTATATTATTTAAATTATAAATATTTGCCCAAGAAGCTTTTCTTAAACATTATTATCGATTACTTCTCTTCATATTTGTATAAACTGTTATTTTTTGTTCTAAATACCAATAATTTCAATTCTTCTTAGTCTCTAGACCATCTAGATTTATTCAGTAAGTGTTGATTAGGTACCTGTGCAATAGTTTTGTTTTGGATATCTTTCTCTTGCCCTGATAGAATAAGATGTTTTGGAAATTTTTAGGTCTTAAATGAGCATATTTAGTTGCCCATAAAATAGATGACTTAATTGAGGTTGGAGTAATTTCCTCGCTATCCTAAATCACAGTTGCTCCTATTTCTCTCAAATTGTTTGAAAGTATCTGACCTATTTCATAATTTTTTCTTTTCTCTGGCTTGAGGCCAACAGGCTTTATCTTCCTATAGTTCTCAGGCTTATAGAAAGTATGGATAAAATTATTTGCAAGGAGTGAAGAGCTTTAGACCAGCTTATAAAACTTGAGGGTCTTCCTGCATCCTTAACATAAAAATGCAATTCTCGCTACTCATAGTTATGAACTTCACCTGCCTAGAATGTTTTCTGGTCATTAATGATCTTTTATTAAAATGAATCCTCCCTTTCGGAAAATTAAAGGCAACTGAAATTAATTAACTCACATACCACCTCCTCCTTCTCACCACAGTGGGAATTAGCAAGAAGCCAACAGAAGACAATGGCATGGGGAGTGGACACCCTGGGAAAAGGAAATTGGGCAGACCAAGGAAAACTTCTTAATCCTGAAATGATTTCCAGGTCTGACCTAACCTACATATTGCCATTCGCTCTGCTAAATTACATTAGAAATACCTGTTCAGATGTCTGTATCTTATACCAAATTCTAGTCTCCCTCAGGATATTCAGCACTGGACTCAGTGCCTGACGCAGAGTAAGTGTCTAATAAGTTTAATTGTGTGATCTTTGTGATTACTGAGTTAAGTTTTTTATGCCTTGATGCTCTAGGTTGTACTGTTCAAGAATACAATTTAAAGAATGGTATTTGTTTTTGCAGTGGCCCTCCCTGGCATGTTATGGTTTTCTCTCATATGGCTTGCAGCTTATTCAGAACTGCTTGTAAACTGTTATTTCGTTGATCATTGACCAATTATCTTTTGTTCTTCTAAGTTTTCATCCTCCACTAACATTATCTATTCTCTCTCCATTACCAATGCTTGCTGACCTAAACATCACAGTTTCCTTAAGAATCTAAAATAGTTGATTTTTTTCTTTCTGCACTTTAGTCAGCTGGCATTGTTCAGTACTTCATTCACCCTCCACACACGGCTCTCACAGGACCTTAACCTGCTGCCCTTCCCTTAGGGAATCCACTAGTATTCACCACCTGGGCCTTCACATCGTGGGAATTTCCCCAGCTGAAAAAGCTGAGAATCTCATATCCTCTTTCTGATCACAACTTCCTATCCTTCCAATGATTCCTGTCACTCGCCATTACCTGACACCACTGTCTTCCATTATTTTTCTTTGGCCACCCTTACTTTTCCCATGTTTCTCTCTTTGTACTTATCACAGCCATCTTAGCAGTGCCAACTGTGCTCTAACCCTCAATCTCTTGCACTAGAACATGATTCACTGCTACCTAGTTCAGTTTAAGGGATGGTTGATAGTGCTAGGAATTTATTTTATTCTTCCTTAGATAACTTCCTACCAAAATCTCCATAGTGCACGTTCCATTTTTTCCAGGTTTTCCAGTTCACTCAGACTATCCTTATTCTTTTCTTCCTTGGCAGATAAGCTTATTTCTAAATTCATAGAGAATATGAAGATTAATTTAGGCAAATTATTTATCAAGATTTATCTCCAATGTTATAGGTATTTATTTGATCTGTTCTTAGCATAAGAACTCTTATGTTGCACTATACTATTTGTCTCTAAAATATTCATATCCCAATTTTTAACTCTTAGAATAACTACACAAAATGTTCTCATTTATGACAACTCTTGTAGTCCCTATGATAATATTCCATTTCTTCAACCCATCCTCAACTGACATGGTTTGGGAGTCTTAGTATCAGCAGGGCCTTTCTCCTTTGGATGCACTCCTGGTTGTCTTAAGTGTGGTTCCCAAGCTGAACCCAGAGGAATGAACGAATATCATTAGATGTATCGGGTTTTCTCCTCTACAGTTACTCATCCTAAAATTTAATCTGCTCTCTCCCCATTTATTTTTTGCACCCATACTATACTATTTAATTATGTGTGTTCATTTGCTTCATCTTGGGCAAATACACTTCTCCCCAATTGTACATTTGACATCTGATCTGGGACTTTTAAAAATACTTACTGCAATTAAATTTAATCTTTGCCTTTGGTTAGCCTATTGTTTCAGAAGTTCAAACTATTTTTGGATTCTGATTCTATGATACAGATTAGCAATTCTTCCCAACATAGAGAGGCATTAGCGGATTGGATCAGGACACAGCATCTTCATCTGAGTAAATGTGTAGAATGCTGAACTGAAAGGACTTTTGTGGCACCTTCTTGCTTTTCATGAGTCCATGAATTAGTCCCCTTTATAAGGCTATTCAACCAGTTATACAGTCAAGTAACTCTCTTTCCTCTGAGTTTACATTCCTTTGTGTAGCCCAGAAGTATACTGTGACAGCCTTGGTCAAAT